GCGCGAATCGACGACGACGTCCAGATTTCTAATTAGACTTTTTGTTTGCAGCAGGGAATCTCGTTTCACTGTCTCGCCGTTATTTATGCGGTAGTTTCGTCCAAAAGTGCGCACCACCGGGTGTGTCCCGTGCACCATTTGAGGATTGTCCCTGTTGAAATTACACGCCAAAGAGTTCCCTTACAAATTACTATTTACAGTTTGAAACACGCCTCCGATAATTTCACCCCCCATCAAACACGCGCGTACATTTACGTACCATTAGACGTTTACGGCTATTTCAATTATTAACTCGCGTAATTTCATCTGTAATTTCATTTCGTTTCTGTTTTGTTCCGCGAAAGTGGTCAAGTTTGTCGAAGAAATTTCAACTTCGTCGAAAATTCAAACTCTGTTTTTCGAATTTCGTTGCGCGTGTTGAAAACACAGACTGAAAAAAGGATCGTTCTCGCATCAGAAGAGAAAAAGAAAGAAACGAAACGGAAAGACACGTTCGATAGGGAATGCAAGAGTTAAATATTTTCAAGAATTCTGTAAGCGTTCCTCCGGGGGTGCTACTACGGTTCGATGCACGTCAATTTCGAAGGTAGGAATACTATCGAGACATTAGGTTCCCCTTTTCCAGCGAAGGAAAGAGATATCATAAAGGAGTCGATAGCCGGTCGCGAATGCGAATCAATATGCGGAAATGATAGTCCTTATCTTGCACTCGTCACGAGTATTCGTATCTTCTTTCTCGCAGTCCACGTTTACCATCGCTGTTTAACTTTTATACCTCTTAGATGTTACTCTCTCTCTCTCTCTGTCTCTCTGTCTCTCTCTCTCTCACTCTCTTTAAACTAACGTGTCGTTACGAGTTGCCGGAGATACGTTGAACACGCGTTTCATGGCGACACGCTCAAACGCCAGCGCTCAGAAACAAATAAAAGCGTTGCCATAACGGCGACGCGAAAATAACGGTGGAAAATGGCGGTAATTTCGACGACAATTTCACGGATTATACGGCGTAATAATTGCCGAACGAATGGAACGACCGAATTAAAAAAAAAAAAAAAAAAAAGAAAAAAAAAAAAAAAAAAAACCAGAATGCCAGAGGGTGTCGACGATCGATTCGTTTTTATTTCTCCGGCGATGATCGCGGAAAACGCGATATTATACATTTACGTGTGTACGCCGCTGTGTTTGCGTTACGCAGTTTGCGCGAAAATCGCGCGTATGTGCGCGGTGATCTCGATTGCTCGCCGTAAAAAAAAAAAAAAAAAACAGGAAAAAAAGAAAACAAAAATCGGGAATAAAAATTTTCGGGTTCGTTACGGGCGCGTGGGTTCGCTGCCGCGATTTATTTCTCGCACAGCGATTTAGGCGCGCGCGTGTGGCGATAACATTAACGGCAGAGGAAAGGAAAATGGCAACAATGGCAACAACAAACAATACGCCCACGCACTTTTATTCAATGTTTTCGGGTTTCCCGCGCGTCTAGCCGGAAGTAATGGGAATTTAGTGAACGTTGCCCGTGTGGCGGCGGATGGGGGGAGGAGCCGAACGAAACGAAACGTAAAACCGTTTATTTCGTTCGTTTTCGTTCTTGCCCCGTTTGATTTCTCTTTCTTCGATTTCTCCGTTTTCCTGTTCGCTCCTGTTTCCTTCTCTCTCTTTTTATTTTTCGTCTCGTTTCTTTCTTTTCAATTTTTTTTTTTTTTTTTCAACGAAACGACTCCTCTCCGCCGTTTGCACGAGGGACATCGTTCGCGTTAAGTGCAACACATTCGAGTCAACGTGGCCGAAAAAAGAGAAGGAAAAAAAGAAATGAAACACTGGCGTTCGTCGAAACGCACGCGGAAGCGTTCATCACATGAACTGGAACCACGGAATCCGGCTAGTAAACGGAAACAGGGAGAGGCACAGACCTTTCTTTATAAAATATAATATTGAATTTCAGCTTCGCGTCGCTCTGTGGTGCCCAGCGTTTCCCCAATGACCGAATAGATATCTTTCGGGCATTTAACTGATTTCACTTTGACTCTTTCCTGTTACTTTTTTTCTTTTTTCTTTTTTCTTTTCTCTCTTTTTTTGGGGAGGGGGAGGGGGGTAGTTGGACGAATTCTCGCAACCTCTGACAATCCTGAATCGACTGGACTTCAGTTCATCAGCTGAAAACGACAATGCCGTGTTGCCCGCAAGTAACGTTAATTTGTTTCGTGCACGGGCCGGCAAATAATTAAATAAACAAGACTCCATTTCGAATCACGACGCGCGAATAACTTTTACTTTCGAATGACCACGAAAATCCTCACTATTTATGCTAATTACAGAAGGGGTGGGTTGCAGCGCGAGACTAATTAGACGCACCTCCAATTTCCCTTGACTGAACGTGTTCGCTAGTAATTACTCCAACATCAATCAAGCCAATATTAAGGGGTGGTTACATGTGCCGCGACATAATATATATCATTACCCCGATGTGCTATACAACATATTCCTGCCTCGTTAGTGTTCATTGATATACTCGGCGAATAAACGGCACAGTTCCGCGTTGTCGCGTAATGTTTTTCAGTACGATTCTTACTTTCTTGGAAATGTTTAATCCCTGGTGGCAAAGAACGATATTTTTTTCTAAAGTAAAAAGGATATCGCCGTTATTAGAAAAAGTACGACGAGTATTTTCTCTCGCAATTATCGCGTGATATTTTCCTTTTCAGAGAAATTCAATCCGAGATAACGATACATTTCCAAGTAAAAAGAAACCGGTGTTATTGGAAAAGTATTGAGAAATACAATGAAATTGGAAATAACAATCTACCGCGGTCGTCGATGTTAAAATACGGACCAATCGGATACAGCACAATGTATCGAAATAGCATGAACGATGAGCATTGACATTTACAGTGGTCGGTGAAGTGTTAATTACGGGGCTAACCTCGAAATTCACCAATCGGCGGTCGAGGAAAGTTTCTGTCGCGAAGGAATTGTCGCCGTACAGCGAAGAAAAGTGGAAAAAATTTCTTTATGGTGGATCGATCTTTTACGAAATAATCGTGAAACAATTGTCGACCAATTCGACTGCAGATGCATCGTATCATACGATTGTATAAATTTTCATGCGCATTCAAGCGAGCGTAGATACTCGAACATCTGTGTGTTTATTCATAAAGATTTTATTCAACGCGTTTTCACGATTTTGTTCCGTGTGACTGTGGTAATGCAAACGTGCCATTCGTGGAGAAGTATTGACGTTCTTTTTAGACAAATTTCTCTTGAACGTTTCACCGTTTGCAGTCGCGACGGTAGAAAGTTTTTTCTACAACTGATATTTTCTAATATATCAATTAACCTTGGAACTCTTAAGTCTCGAGCTTCTTCTATCATGTATTTATTATTAGAAAAATTGTCTTTTTTTAAGTATATTAATTTCACTTCAATTTAATACATTATAGATTGTAAACGAGATGACACATGCTTTTGTCTTAAATTTGTTTTGAAAAGTAGAGCTGTATCATAAACTAGAACATCTACAGAGAATCCGGAGCCGCAGATTTTTCAGTTTTAAATTTGAATCTGATTCTACCAATGTTATGCACGAATGACAAAATAACATGTCTGTAGAGTGTTTCCTGCATATATGAGTTTAACTTTCAAAACAAGTTTGCTCAGGGTTTGGTTATTTTATTTGAACTTTAAGATAAAGGAATTAACTTTACGTTCAAAACAAGTTTGCTCAGGATTAGGTTATTATATTTGAACTTTCAGATAAAGAATTGATTTCACATTCAAAACAAGTTTAGGGTTAAGATATTATATTTAAACTTTTGTTTTCCAATTGATTTTTAACCAACTTTTGTAAGATAAATTCATAAACAGTGTTTCACGCACGTAATAAAGAAACATGTGTTAATTTTTGAAAATGTTTCGCACAAAGTGGTAATTAGCTTTGTGGGTTCTCCCACTTTGGGAACTCTACGGTCCCCATACAGTTAATAGAGTAAAACTTTTTGAGTCTAACGGCGATGAATTGGCAGCCTGAATGGCGGAGGTTGTTTCGTATCCATCGGATTAAAATATCGTTGCGCCAGACAACGTTAATGAACGGATGAAAGCGGGCTGTAATCGAGCTGCGATACGAGATCAAAGAGTAGAAAGCATTCTTTTTTTTCTCTCTCTCTCTTCTTTTTATTCATTTTTCTCTGCGGATGTATCAGACCGGACTAATAATGAATCGGCACAGGTTCGACCAATTAACGCGTGATCATCCGCGAGATTAACTGATTTCACGGTAGCTAGGGTGATTCATCCTCCGTCGCGTTTTGTATTTAACGTCGACGTCGCTAACGATCTCATTAGTTTTGTGGCATATTATGCCGTGGCGAGCGAGACGCGATGTAGCAAACACGTCGAACTCTATGGTTTTTAGAATGGGAATCGCAAACCCGTTAATTAATTCCCTGGCGTTCGCGTCGCGCCGATATACACCGCCCGCGCGTCTTTCGACAATTTAAAGGACGCCTCCGTGGATCTCCTCATTAAATCTCGGCCAAACGTCTGTGTACCGGGTCGACTTTGTTACTCGGTGGAAAGCCTCGTCGAGCCTGGATGCCGCGGATTGTGCTCCTTAACTTTGACTGACGCAAGAGAATCGCGTTTTCAACGTCTGCTCGGTCTCGATCGAATGCTCCCGTTTCGAAAAGTAACTCGAAGGAAAGATATTTCGTTTTGAAAGTAGACGAGAAACGGTTCAGATAATAATACCAATAATTTTTTTTTTTTTCTTTTCTTTTCTACGTCGATTTACGAATCGTTGCTTGTACCGCGTTGAAGATTAAACGATCGCGCGAAAACCGACAAAGCCGGTGGTCTAGATCCAAAAAAGAACGGTCGTAAAGTCGGCCGGCGACAGGAGTTGTTCCATTAGAGGCAACGCCAATAAAACGACTGTATCAATTTTCGTTCGCGTATCGTCACTCAAATCACGTTCGACGATAAAACCGGTGCCCGGTTACATTCTTCTGTTCCAGGCGATGAAGATGAGCAAAGTGGGCAACCAGACCAATTCGCAGGACCCACAGGCGGTGAACTCCCGGGTTTTCGTCGGGAATCTAAACACGTTTCAGTGCAGCAAGACCGATGTGGAGCGAATGTTTCAGCGTTACGGCCGTCTGGCAGGTAGGTTTCCTTTCCCCGGCGAAATCACATAAACGGAAGCTCGGATCAGCCTCCTCGGCATCCTCCTCGCCGACGTTTCCCAGATTCTTTCGCTAGGCCATCGCACGTCAGATTTTTCTCCGCGACAGAGAGGATCTTCCCTTCTCCGGGAAGCACATCATTCGCGAATAATTGCAACGAACGGTGTGCCTTCTCGTCAGCTCGGAACAATTTCTTATTTTATCGCGATATTTTATTCCGCGATATTTCGCGTAATTTACAATATTATTTACTGTTGTTTAATCCCAACATCATCGGCAATATTAATATTATTTACTCTCCGTATTGTCCACTTGGAACAATTTCTTATTTCATTGTAATATTTTATTCTGTGATATTTCGCGCAATTTATACTATTTGTCGTTTATTGTTATTTAGTCTGAAAATTATTAATATTATTATTATTATTTAGTTTCGATATTGTCCACTTGGAACAATTTCTTATTTTATTGCGATATTTTATTTCATGATATTTCACGCAATTTACAATATTATTTACTGCTGTTTTATCCCAACATCATCGGCAATATTAATATTATTTATTCTCCGTATTGTCCATTTGGAACAATTTCTTATTTCATTGTAATATTTTATTCTGTGATATTTCGCGCAATTTATACTATTTGTCGTTTATTGTTATTTAGTCTGAAAATTATTAATATTATTATTATTATTTAGTTTCGAGATTGTCCACTTGGAACAATTTCTTATTTTATTGCGATATTTTATTTCATGATATTTCACGCAATTTACAATATTATTTACTGCTGTTTTATCCCAACATCATCGGCAATATTAATATTATTTACTCTCCGTATTGTCCACTTGGAATAATTTCTTATTTCATTGTAATATTTTATTCTGTGATATTTCGCGCAATTTATACTATTTGTCGTTTATTGTTATTTAGTCTGAAAATTATTAATATTATTATTATTATTTAGTTTCGAGATTGTCCACTTGGAACAATTTCTTATTTTATTGCGATATTTTATTTCATGATATTTCACGCAATTTACAATATTATTTACTGCTGTTTTATCCCAACATCATCGGCAATATTAATATTATTTACTCTCCGTATTGTCCACTTGGAATAATTTCTTATTTCATTGTAATACTTTATTCTATGATATTTCACGTAATTTACAATATTATTTACTGCTGTTTAATCCCAACATTATCGGCAATATTAATATTATTTACTCTCCCTATTGTCCACTTGGAATAATTTCTTATTTCATTGCAATATTTTATTCCGTGATATTTCGTACAATTTATCGTTTAGTGTTATTTAGTCTCAAAATTATTAACAATATTATTATTATTATTTAGTTTCGATATTGTCTGTATTTTGCGTATTTTGATCATCATGTTTTGTATGTTATTCAACGGCAACGATATTCTTTCATGTTTCTCCAAAAGTCTTTCTTTTTGAGTTTAATTGACGTGTGGGCGAAATATATAATCAAGCAAATTAATGTGGCAACTATTACAATCTTATATATATATATATATATATATATATATATATATATATATAGGGTGGTCACTTAAAAATCTTTTCGAATTGCGACGATGCAAAAAATATTTTTCGCCTAACAAAAAAGGCCCATTACTAATAAGAATATTTCTCTTGATGTTTTTCTTTTTTCTTCACACAACTACGTATTTCTTTTTTTATTGCATCGTATGGTTGGTAAAAAGATATGTTAAGATGCGTAAGAAACCTTGAACATTTAAGTTTGACGTATAAATTTATCTCTTTTGTGATCGCAGAGCTTATATATATAATAATATTACATATATATAATAATATTACAATATACGTATAATCTTCTGCAATTGTAGAGTCAATATAACAAACGATTCCATCTGGTCGAGAAAGTGGCAGGAGAAAGTTCAAAGTTATTTCGCGAAATTTGACTCTGATGGTCAAACTCGAAATGAAAAAAAAAAAAATAGGAAATTCCAGCCTTCTTCTCTCCGAAAGAAGAATCTCGTTTAATCGATATTATTCCAAGATCTGAGAAAATATCTATAAAACAACACGCGGCCTTATTTGCAGGTTTTCGCGCGGTATCATCGGTTTCAGATGGTCAGGAAGGGTGGAAGGGAGGAGGGAGGGAGGGAGGGAGAAGTCGAACAGCAGCGGGTAGTTACAAACTGGTCAAAGTTGGGGAGATTCAAAGATTGGGTCGGATAACGGGGGGAAGACTCGCGCTGTTATCCGGTATAAAAAGCCGGTGGAAGCGCTCCGCTCCGGAGAGAAAAATAGCGAGTTGGAAATAGGATTTCCTCGATACGCTCGGTCCTCAGGTAACCCAATTTGTGCCGTGATAGCTCCTTGACCTTCGATATCCCGATTGGATATCCGTCTCCGGTTTCGCCGACGACTCTGTTGCTTTCGCTGCAACACTAACCTCGTTTCGAAGACGCGTTTTATCGCTAACCCAGCTAAATCCGTGGCGGGCAGGAAAAGAAACCAGAAGAAAGGAAGGAAGATAGAAAGAAAGAAAGAAAGAAAGAAAGAAAGAAGCAACGATGAATTAAAAGGAAACGGAGAATCGAATTTTCCCGTGGAGTGCTCGAAGTCTCTCTACGTGGAGCGCGAAGAATCAGCCGGATTTGTTCGACCGTCTCGCGTGATTCTCAGACGCGTTGCTTCGTATCGCTTTAAAGACGTTCGTTCGTTCGTTCGTTCGTTCGTTCGCCGATCTCCCGGGAAGTTGAGGCGCGACGCGAGCAGCAACAGGATCGCTGCAGTTTGTTAGTAAAAGTATATCACACTTTTGCTACCAAGTAGCGCAAGTTACACGAAACTCTGCACGGCTCTCCTACTTATACGAATTTCGAGTTTCTCGGAGTCTGTTGCGTACAGCTGTCACTGCTGTACGCGATGCGATCCGTGTTTGGTGTTTCTGAAGCAGGGAAAATTAAAGCGCAGTCTATGACGTAGTTTCCCTCCGCGTGTTTCGTTCGCGATGTCTTGTGTAACGCCCGTAATGAAAACTTTCTCTATTAAATTTATGTGCAACCCGATCGTTTCTCTTCGCCAGGCCTCTTGGAAACGAGTGGGTGAGCAGTGGGGGGGAGTTTGCTCGAAAAAAGATAAGCTAAGGCGGAAGTTTCCACGACACGCGTTTTCGATTCGAACAAATAAATATAAGGATAGAATTTCGAAGTTAGAAGAAAGTACGTCTACGTGCTGTGTGTAATTGCTCGGTTTAACCTTTACCCAAATTGCAACATTTTCTCAGTTTTTTAAGTATATTTAAATGTAGCCCAGGCAAAACGAATGATTAGTTTATTACTTCTTCATATCTTTCTATCCAGTGATGATATCATACCGACGAGTTCGATAGAAACAGAAAGCGACGAATTATTGTATACGGCTCGGTCACTCGTTACGGTCCGCGCAACCAGTTGCCAGCGCAAATGGCTAACGCCGCAACGTACATACGCCTGAATTATCGCGAAAATTGTCGTAAAAAGTCGTCGATTACGTTACGAATTATCGTCGCAATTTCTCGACCCGACCGTATCTGCTCGATCGAACGACTCCGTACCTCTGTTCTTTCCTCTCCAGATTGCGAGCGAGTTGTATCTTGGCTGGTTTCATCCGTAAACAACCAGACTGCAGCTACTTCGATCTGTCTGGCGTTCAAATAAACTCTGGGAGGAACGCAAACGTGCTCCGAGATAGAAGAAACGGCGCGAGGAGTGGAAAGTTCGCCAGGAGTGGGCTCGTTTCATCGCGGAAATCTTGGACTACTAATTCGAAACAATTTAACGCGACAAAGTGTCACGGCGTTATCGCGAGAGGGTCGGTTCCAAATCGAACGAGGCAGAGACACACCAAGATTCTCTCTCTCTCTCTCTCTCTCTCTCTCTCTCCTCGGGTTTGAATCCTGACCAGAAAGCTCGGAACCTCGGTGGAAAGTGACACCGCGGAGGACTGGCTCGAGTGTCTGGCAACTGCCGATAAACAGCTTACTTTCAGCAGGTTCCTCGACAAAGCGGCTAGACAATAAATGCGCTGGCCTCTACAATGCTGCTGCGTCGAACTTCACCCTGGCCAAATAGAGAGGGAGAGAGAGAGAGAGAGAGAGAGAGAGAGAGAGAGAGAGAGAGAACTTGAGAGTCGGAGGAGGAATTAAAAGGGAGCTTCGATTCGTCAGAGATAAGACGACGACCGCACCGGCGCGGCGCGCTCTCTCCCGCCTCTCTTCCATTCATCGTCCAGGGCCATCGTGACAGCTGTACCAGGCAGATTGCGCGGGTCAAGTGGACGTTCGGAATTGTACCCGAGCGTTGTCTATCGACTGGACCCGTCGCTTAATTTTATTTCCAAGTTCTAGCTCCGCGCCTCGAGTGCCCGATTCTTGGAACTCTCCGGCTGGGACGATCGAAGGGGGGTGACTCCCTGCGCTAATTCGTGCATCTGACACTCGGACAACGTGAGAAGCTCGAGTTCTTCTTTTCGGGAGAGACGAAAGCACCGTGAAATTCGATCGGGGAAGTCGCACTGCCCTGGGAACTTTCGAACAGAAGCGTTTCGCCGACCATCGCACGTCGTTATCAGTATTTTCACTCGACAGAGATGCGCGTGGACGTAATCGAGCGGCGTTTCTCTGAATTTCGAGCTTCGACCGATAACCGTGGTAAACAAAAATAAAAAAAGAAATAAAAAGAGTAGAGGAATTTTCGAAACGCTTGCTTTCGGGTTTTCGACTCCTCGTTTTTCTCAAACGAGTCTGTACCTTTTTCCTCTTTTTTTCCGATTTCAGCGAGCGGTCACCTATAAAGCGACCTGAAACGGCACTAAGTGCTTGTAACTTTTTTTTCACCGGTCGTGCTTTTCCACTTTTTCCATTGAGATACACGTTTGAGCTTGTCTATTCGAAAGAGAGAGAGAGAGAGAGAGAGAGAACAGAAGGGGAAAAACACGTCAGCTCAAGCTAACGGACAGTTTTATCGTCAATCAAAGAGACAGCCGTATGCATAAATGACGCGAGGGAACGCGTGCTCATTTTTCCGGCGAAATCAAAAACAGCTTTCGTTATTCAGACCGGGAAAATTCAATCGGTTACCGAGCCGATGGTGGCTGCACCATCGTTTCGAACCGAAACGTTCGTCGGACTGGTATGTTTCCTTCCCCACTTTCTCTGTCTCTCTCTCTCTCTTTCGCGCGCGCTACCTCCCTTCTATTTCGATCTATTTTTCCTTTTAATTCGATTTCCCACCCTCCTCGTTAGCTTTGCGGGTCGAGCAAAAAACACGGGGATATGTAGATTTCCGGGAGAGGAGCAACGTAAACGTCCGCAACAAGAAATATCGAGTTACTCGGAAACCTCGGCTCGCTTTTTCTCGCGTTGCACCCTCGCACGAAACGCTATCGCGTGAAACGTCACGAGTTATTGCGTCTCGCGATTCGAAGGCGAAACGCGCGCTTTGCCACCCAACTCTTTCGACTCCTTGGTTTGGACAGAGGAACTTGTGATAGATCGTTGCCTCGATCGCTACTCGAGTTCATAGACGTAGAGCTGGAAGTTGAGTATCTTGCCTCGCGAGCAAAAATCCTTTGCGATTCGTACAGGGTTCTTGTCGTTTCGTTCCAACTGTACATTAACAGTTTCGTATTCAGCCCTGCTGAGTTTGCCAACCGATGGTCCGATATCGGTTATTTTGCGAAAAATCACTTGATTAAATAATTATTCAGTTCAATCTCACGTTGTTGGTAAATATACTGTCACGTTCAATAATATAATCGCGCCGTACAGTCTTAACGAAACAGCATCGACAAAATCGAAACGATATGCATTGTCGAGGAGTTCAGAAGACCCGATTGAAACGAAATGTACACGATGTAGGACCGCTACAGAGCTAAATTTCGAGAATCACGGCGAGTGATTCGGTCTCCTCAAATTTTCATTTCCCGGCAGAGACACGCCGGCGAAACATTCGAATCCCCTCGTTATTTCTGTAAACTACTAAATCGAGCTACTAAATTTCGCTCGTGGTCCAGTCAGTGTCGCGCGGTGAGTCGTCGACGAGCGCGACCCACTCGATTCGTGCAATCTGCTCCACGCAGCTGTCACCGGCGACCCACGGCATTCCACGGGCCATGCACTGTCCGACAAGCCGAGACCTTTTTCAATTTCACGTCTCCGTTGACTCTCCGAGCCTCTCTCACTTGAGTCACTCTCCACCTACCGCAATAAGGACGCTGGCCGGACGACGTTTTCTTGCGCGACGACCAGCGGCGACCCGGCGCGAAACAGTGGCAGGGAAGGGGGAGATTGCGAATCGTCGTTGCGGCGGGCAGAGGTTGAAACTTTTGTGCAAGTTGCGCGTCGCTCGGGACGGTGAACGCCAGATAGGGCGGCGTGCTTTTTGAGCTTGTCGTACTTTTTCCCTCCGCCCCCTTCTTTCGGAGGATTCGACGCAGAGGAGAGACTGAGTCCGTTCCTTTTTTTCCTGTACGGCGAAAGAAACGTCGCTCCTTTTTGTCGTTTCCGCGTGCTATTATAAACGGGGGACCCGTTCGTGATCGATTGGGACTCGTTTCTTTTTCGATCATCTTCCGTTCTTACTACGGTGCAAATACATGGGCCTTCACACAAATATTCTTTCTTCTCGCGCGAGAATTCTCCTCGCTCAAAATACGTTTAACCTCTTGCGCTGGAATGACGTGCCACGCACGTCGAGAATTGTTTGCCCCAAATTGCAACATTTTGTCAATTTTAAGTTTCTCAGTTTTCGTCAGTTTAAGTTATTCAAATGTAATCCAGGCAAAACAAATGACAAGTTTATTACTTCTTAATAATTTCTATCCAGTGATATCATACCGACGAGTTCGAAAGAAAAAGAAAGCGACGAATGTATTGTACACGGTTCGGTCACTCGTTATGGTCCGCAGTCAGTTGCCAGCTCAAGTGATTAATCCCGTCAAGAACGTTTTGCCCNCAAAATTGCAATATTTTCTCAGTTTTAGATATATTTAAGTATAACCCAGGCAAAACAAATGATAAGTTTATTACCTCTTAATAATTTCTATCCAGTGATGTTATACTGATGAGTTCGAAAGTAACAGAAAGCGACGAATGTATTGTATACGGTTCGGTCACTCGTTATGGTCCGCAGTCAGTTGCCAGCGCAATGGGTTAAATACGATTTGGCTCCCGGAGAGGAAGCTCATCGTAGTAAACCATCGATGGACGAAGCGCGTTGTCGATATCCAGCGAAATCTTCCGGCGTTGCCGAAACAAGACGGCGCCCGGCGTCGAGCGTACCGCATCAAATCTTGCTGCGAACGCTCGTCTGTCGATAACAATTTACATTTACTCTGGGAAGAATTCCCCCGTAAAATCGACGATACAGATACGTTTCGAACATTGTCGGAGAGGAGGATGGGGTTGGGAATCAAAATGCCGACTGCAGCACGCAGAATTCCAGGATAGAAAATATTCGTTCGAAATTCCAACCGGTATTCTTTCATTTCATTCCTCTCTCTTTCTCCCCCTCTTTTTTTCTTTCCCCTTTTTTTTTTTGTTTTTTTTTTTTTGTTTTTTAATTTTACATCGGCTGTGCCACATGGCTGCCAGTTGGATCATCGATTCCGTGGGCAGTCTGCGTGGCAAGAACGGCAGATACGTTCATTTTAACAGGCGGGGAGCTGCCTGTAATCTGTGTACCCGTAATAACTTTTGCGTGGTTAGCAGCTGACCATGCATGGAATTCATTATGCTGAAACAAATATGTAAATCTCCATATATTCCCGCCACGGTTGTACGTACGTACATGCACATGTACGTGTACATATGTATATGGCCGCGGGTGTACACGGTCCTGGATGCGGATATATTTCGTACGGAACGTGTGTCCACTCCCGAAACGGACAGTGACGGTTAAAAAAAACTTATCTGGCCATGCCAGTTGCCTAGGACATGTTAATAATGTCAGGGACTGAAAATCTCCGGGAGACTTTCGCGCTTCCCCTTCTTCCCACTCTCCTTCGATGCGTGTGTATCGTTTTACAGCGACTCTTTTTTCCGTATCGACAGACGTTGCCCCGGGGGATAATATCTGACTCGATCAACCATATTTCGTCTCGATCACTCGTAAATCTTCTCGCTGCAGAAAAATTGACGTTTTCTCCATTTTTTTTTTTTTTTTTCCTAACTCGTTGAGCTACTACTGTCGAGTTACACTCGTGGTTACAATCTGACGAGGGAACATATCGATTTTGATGAAACTTGGCGTAAATGTAGTTTTCAAAAAAGTATTTGACCTGTATTTCTTTTTCTTCGGCAGTTGTCGATGTTGAAACTACCCTCAAAGGGTGCGGAACATATTTGGTCAGATATCTCGGAAATTATTGAAGATTCCGTTTTTGTCTAACTTGATGAAAATTAGTATCTTTCAACGACGAATTTAATGATGTATACCAAAAATATTTGCAAAGAAAAACCTTTTTCTTAAACAATACGTTAAGGAAACCTTCTTACAAGCTTTTCCAAGTATGTTAATAAATTTCCTAAAATTCAAACACAAATTATCGATAAAATGGAATCTCGATTTTTGCATTATAAAGAAATTCATTATTTTCAAATCTTTCTGCATACTATAATTGTTCTCCGTTCGCAAACATGTTGTAAAATGTTAAATGAGAAAGCAAATTGCAGCTCTACGTAGAATTTTAATTTTCAATGTTAATCCTTCAAATTGAAGATCGATAAACGCAAACTGCTTTACATTCGTGACTAACTAACGTTTATGTTACCAAAGACTGAGAAAGACGTAAGGCAACGGGGTTGAAGAGGGGTGCTCGCGAAAATATTCGCGCGAGTTTTCAGAAATGACGAAGTTATTGTTGCTTGATGACGAGCAATCTACGCGGAACGAGTATTTCGCGATGGCGCGAGGCAAGATTGAACGTTTCACAGTGGATCGACGCGATCGGAATGCAAGTTCTTATTAAAATTCATCGTTCAAGAATGAATGTAGCAAAAGAAAGCGAGGGAAGGAACTCGTTCCTTGCAGATCGCGATAAATTCCTGTGAAAAGAATGGCCGAACGTTTCTGCGATTTGTTTAGCACGCATATCTGAAGGCGCCTGCCATTTTTATACTTTCATTTCTCGCGGCTCGAGATTGAGAGTTGGCATTCTCAATGAGAAGCTTTTCCTCTCTCTTTCTCTTTTGACTATTAGTCACGTTTACTAAACAAATTGGATCGTAGGCTAAATTACTTTCGACATATCCGGAGATCGTTGCTCGATCATTAATACTCACACGTCATGGACGAATCGAACGAAAGAAAGAAAGAAAGAAAGGACAGGGAAGATCTCTCCCTTTGCCAGGTTATATTCCGCTTTCAATAATCGCGATCCTTGAGCTGCCTTCGTCCGGTATCCGGAACGATGACGAGGTGCTCGGCTCCAGGAGACTAGACTCATCGTGCTTCATCAAAATTCATGGAAACAATTTTAATTAAAGATTTCCTCCCATTATCTTGGTATTTCTGTTTCATTCCATTCGCATGGCGAAGGAAGAAAGAGCGGGAGGAAACGGCGGTGGAGGATGAGGAGGAGGAGGAGAAGGAGGAGGAGGAGGAGAGAGATCGGTATTGGAACGTCATGATCGTTTGTTGTTCCAGGAATATCTATGCACAAAGGCTATGCATTCGTGCAATTCACAAATCCCTTTGATGCCCGGAGCGCCTGCCTCGGCGAAGATGGCCGCACCGTTCTTAGCCAGATACTCGGTAAGTAATTTCTCTCTCTAGCCGAGAACATTAATAACTCGCTCCGCGTCCGCTTGTGTACGGGCACACGGCCGCGCGCCAACATTCGAACTTAAACATTAATTATCCTTTCCAACCCGTTCGGCAAGCCTCTCCGCGCCTAGCGCCAATTAATTATTGGCCCCGAGCCGAGCGTCTCGCTTAAACGCTGGCTGTGTTTCGATGTGTTTAGCCCTCGCAGCTTTTGAAACGCGCCCGCTGGATCCGCGCGGCCCTTTGACGCCGCGCGTCACCGCCACCGCCCCTCGTTGCTTTCTGCTTTTTCAAGTTTAATGGCCAGGCCCGGCGTTTTCAACGCGCGGTAACGCTGATGCACTTCGATCTTTCTCTCTCTCTCGTCTTCGAGCTCTTAAATCCTCCGCGCTTCAGTCGAGCGAGAATCGCGCCTCTCTCCGGACGTTTTGTCGGAATTGGACAGATCCGTTGATAGTAATGCCCCCTTCCCGCGGAATCTTCGGGATTACTTTTTGTTGGTGAAAACGGCGAACGATTGAGTCGAAACGATAAACGTTTTGAAATAAAAACTCGTCGTTTTTCATTCTTCTTCAAATATAGTATTATTGCAAATATACATACTGCAAATATAGTATTATTCAAATATAGTATATTTGTATTATTATTATTATTATTATTATTATTATTCTTGTGCTGATGGGTATTTCTCTTTACCCATAAGAAATGAGTAAACAAATAAATTATTCAATTAATTAATTAGTGGTTTGCAATGCGCTGGTAGGTGATCCTACGCAACAGCAAACTGTTGTAAAATTTTTTACACTTTTTCACATTCCTTTCGCGTCGCGAGAAGAAATCAACGATCAGCATTGCTATTAAAAAGGACGAGTTCGCTCGTTACCATCGCGTTCATTGGCAATTTTTTTTTTTTTCTTTTTTGTCCCTTATTATTACGATTTTTCGCCGAATGGAAACGAAGAGGATCGTTTCAGTTCCTTGATAAGACCACGTGTACGATTACTCGGTTTAGTGGTTCACACGTTGAGATTAAATTTAACTTTCCCCGGAAATCGCGATTCTTTCTCGACTGTTCTTGCACGCAACGCGAATATTTCTTTTTAACCATTTTCACTGTGATGGATACGCGCTTTTAAAGTGCGTGTACATTGTGTCGCAGATGACGATTATACTCGTCAAATGCAGAGCGTGTGCAGCTGCTGTAAAATTGAATTAAATTACGAGGAAATAACACTGGTTTTTTTTTTTTTTTTTGAAAAATGAATAATTTCATCGTCAAATTTAATTGATATTACGTACAAAATACTTGAACGTCCGTAATTTTCTTGTTACGCGAAAGATTCAAATATTTGGAAACAACTTTAACAAATTTAATTTATTCTTTCGGAACACATAATAGCACTTTGCACGTCGAGCACCAATATCTAGATTCTTTTCGTATATTATTTTTCAAACACAGCGAACATCTTTGCGTGGGTTTAATTTTCGACGATATGCTTGATACGTAATCTGGAAAATGTTTCCTGATGAAATCACGTGTAGGTTTCGTTGTATATTGCCGACCAACTGACGTTGTACGCGTTGAATTTACATCTTCAATTGTATATAATTCAATGGGGTTTTTTTTTTTTTTTTTTTTTTTTGATACACTCCAACAGGGAATTTACACGCGTTAATTTTCCATTATTCTTCATTCAATATAACAAAAATGAATTCAAACAAATAATGTCTGAATGATGATTTATCCAATATGTACAAAGAAATTATATATCCAGAGTGACTTTCACACGACACAAGTCGCAACAATGTCGCGCACAAGCGATCGTAGCAAGAAAATACTTGGAAATTATGCGAAAAGAACCAGTCGAGTCCAGTCTTAAAGTAATCTAAAAAAAAAAAATTTCCAAATATGTTTTACTTTCCACAGTTTAATTTAATTTAATTTAATTTAAGCGAACAAATCCCGCACTTTTCACGAGTACGCTCGTCCTTCACAGCCAAGAGTAACCTGCTCGAAGAACGAAGAAACATCGGACGCGTGAGAACGCGAATTAACTCGGGATCCTCGTCGGCGTGTCTCGTCGAGAGTTCGATATCCCGGTTCTGTTCTAAAGTCGAGAATCGCGATTGAAGGCTGGCGCGCGCGATCATTTGCGAAAACGGCCGTGCCCCTCGCGAAGTTAACTTCGTCTAGTGGAAGGAAGGTTCTCCGCAGTCGAGGAACGAGCCGAACAGATCCTTAAAAGCCAAGTATCATCGACTTCCAGCCATTAGTTTCCAACTTCTCTAGGGAATCTGACTAGAGACAGGGGGTGGGAGGGGGGAGTGGGTGAGGGGAAGAGTGCGTTCGCTCGAGAGCATTTAGTAAACTCGGCGAAACTCCCTCCCCACCCAGGGAAATCGGCTTTTCTTCCAACACCATTACGAATTTACATGATTTCCGAGCGATTCGTAAATATCGATGCCGCGCTGTTTTCATTTCCCTCTCCCAGTTCCTCCCAGCCCTGTCGTGCGATGTGTCTTTCCCTCTGTGACCAGTGTCCTATGATAAAGAATCCACTATTTCTCGAAACTCGCCCGAAAATTGCAATGGAATCTTGTATGAAAGAATCAGTCAGTATTTAATCTCCAAATTTGCGTTTTCACTCTGTTCGACTTAGAGTTAAGTCTGGCTGTGCATACATACATACGTAAACTAGCAAACAAAATTATAAGACACCTTGCAAAATTACTGAAGGTACAAAAGTTTTCGTTTTGTAAACGAATTTGTCGCAAACGGATCGAAGTTAATCTTAATTAACACATCCATAAATTGAACGAATAATTTTCACTTCAATAAATTCTTCATTTAAACAGAAATACCAATACATAGTACAATTTCATTTGGACAAAATTATTAAAAGACACTGGCGAGAAAAGGAACAAAAGTAGTCTTCGTAATTAAATTTTCGATTCTTTTTTTATGTTAGTAGCGGGTTGATCCTATTCTATTTTGTATAACTTTGATTTGGACTTCTTTAGACTTTTGAATAATCTTCTTTCTAAGCTGTATCAAAGAAGCGTTATCTCGCCCGTATGGCACACTGTCCAACACGGTTTTTTTTTTTTCAAACAACCCGTTCAGTGGCACTGAAACGGTCAAACCGGGGAATTAGATACAGAAACCGTGTTTCGCCAGCTCGACTTGAACAAGCAACTTCGCTAAGAACACCGCGGTCAATAAGACAAATATAAACGTGGAAAGGGAAGCAAGGATCGGCCGGTATCGACTAGCTGCTACTATCTTGGGAGCCGACGATACACACCTGTGTATTGTACACGATGTGTATTATCCAGCCAGATGGAATTGGAGCCGATTTCCTTGCTCGGTGTTATCCTTTATTTACGTATCTGTAGATTCCCGCGCACGTTCGCTAAAAAGTTCTCTCAACGTCTCGGAGATCTTTGCCGATTCTTGGCGAAAGAATTGTAAAAGAAAAGAAGAAAAAAAAAAAAATGAACGAACGCGTTACAAAGTCTCGCAAGACTTTGCTAATTCAGTTTCGTTGAACACGAGTCAAACTTTTGTTGAACGCGCGCCGAAGGTCAACTCGCCGGCGAAACGCGAGAGTCAATAAACCGTCCCCCTCGTTGAAACGGAAGTGGCGGTGTTTCCTTCGTAGGGTGAAAGGCCCGGCGTTCCCGAAAGAAACCGGCGCATTAATCACAGACAGAAACTTCATAAGCTGGCGGCGTGGTCGGTATTCAGATGGCCGGGAGGAGGGTGGGGGAGAGACGGCGTTGATAATCGCGTTCCTTCCCACTCCCCCAATCCTCCCCCGCTACGGGGGAGAGCCACCTGAGAGAGTAAGTATCCGAGGAACGAGGAGGGTGGTAATACAGGCGGGAAAAATCAACGACGAGCCAACGATAGCACTGGCTGGCAGGCTGCCGCGCTGGTAAGAAGCAGCGGCCCTGTCTGTACAACCCGGGCCGATACCTTTCTCTCTCTCTCTCTCTCTCTCTCTCTCTCTCTCTGTCTTTCTCGCTCGATTCGCCAGGAATCTTTCTTTGGCTAATGCAAGAACTGTGTTCCCGCTGTAACTGCCAGCCGCCTACCTTCCGGCGGCCATATACCTTCCTCGCGCTGTACATATACGTTCAGCCGGGCAAGGGGTAGGTTGTAGGTGGGTAGACACGGGCCGGGATACCGTGGGAGACGTGCATTTACAAGTGCAACTCACCACAGGGAGACCGAGGCAACCTCCTGCGCCTTTCTATGTAGCTCTCACCTCGCGCCCGCGCGTTTCTCTATGTACATACGTACGTACATGGAGAAAGTTCAGCCGGTGGGAAACAAGCCGAATAAAAAACCGTGGCGGCTCTTTCTGCCAACCGACCGGCCAGATTGTTTCTTTTTTTCCTTTTCGTTTCATCAATCGACGTTGATTAATCAGTCATTTACCGCTTGGACAGGACACACTCTCAACATGTGAACACTCGAGTACGCTTCGTTACTTTCGTAATGAAATTTATCGGCAAGGAGTAACGACTTTCGTCAATTTTTAGTTTTTACGCCGCGCTACTGAAGAACTTTCCCACGATAAAACGATAAAACGAGAGCCACGCTTTATCGAGTCGCGTCGCCTCCGAGCGCGCTGCACATAGTCGGCTATATAAGCTGCACTTATCAAGTCCATAAATTGAGAACTCGCGGAAACGCCGCGATATCAGAAATATCCTTTCCCCTCTGCGATTTCGAACTGCGTACACTACCGTTGATTCGACGAACGTTGACGTAACTTTTGAGAGAGAGAGAGAGAGAGAGAGCTGCTCTGTACGCGTTGAATTCTGAACGCAGATCCTCCGTAGATTGCCAATTAATTCGAGTCCCGGTTCTGTTCTCTGCCTCCTTTGGCTGAGAACTCTTTCGTTTGAACGAAGGGACACCGAGTCCCCTGAATCATTCTCTCGGGCCAATTGTCTCGAGGTGATCAATGATCGCGATG